TGTTGAAACCGTCGTCTTAATTCTCAGTCTTGGGATTCTCAGACGGCCGAAACACTCTCGGAGGATTGAAGATGGTAGGGACTCCCTAAGGACATCCTCTGTGTCAGAGCTTTCGAATGTTTCAAGTTGGTGACATACTTTTGAGACTAGCATAATTTCACGAGACAGTTGACATACTTCTGAGGCTAGCATAATTTCACGAGACAGTTGACATACTTCTGAGGCTAGCATAATTTCACGAGACAGTTGACATACTTCCGAGGCTAGTATAATTTCACGAGACAGTTGACATACCTTTAAGGCTAGCATAATCTCACGAGACAGTTGACATACTTCTGAGGCTAGCTTAATTTCACGAGACAGTTGACATACTTCTGAGGCTAGCATAATTTCACGAGACAGTTGACATACTTCTGAGGCTAGCATAATTTCACGAGACAGTTGACATACTTCTGAGGCTAGCTTAATTTCACGAGACAGTTGACATACTTCTGAGGCTAGCATAATTTCACGAGACAGTTGACATACTTCTGAGGCTAGCATAATTTCACGAGACAGTTGACATACTTCTGAGGCTAGCTTAATTTCACGAGACAGTTGACATACTTCTGAGGCTATCATAATTTCACGAGACAGTTGACATACTTCTGAGGCTAGCTTAATTTCACGAGACAGTTGACATACTTCTGAGGCTAGCATGATTTCACGAGACAGTTGACATACTTCTGAGGCTAGCATGATTTCACGAGACAGTTGACATACTTCTGAGGCTAGCTTAATTTAACAAGACAGTTGACATACCTTTAAGGCTAGCATAATCTCACGAGACAGTTGACATACTTCTGAGGCTAGCTTAATTTCACGAGACAGTTGACATACTTCTGAGGCTAGCATAATTTCACGAGACAGTTGACATACTTCTGAGGCTAGCTTAATTTCACGAGACAGTTGACATACTTCTGAGGCTAGCATGATTTCACGAGACAGTTGACATACTTCTGAGGCTAGCATGATTTCACGAGACAGTTGACATACTTCTGAGGCTAGCTTAATTTAACAAGACAGTTGACATACCTTTAAGGCTAGCATAATTTCACGAGACAGTTGACATACTTCTGAGGCTAGCATAATTTCACGAGACAGTTGACATACTTCTGAGGCTAGCATAATTTCACGAGACAGTTGACATACTTCTGAGGCTAGCATAATTTCACGAGACAGTTGACATACTTCTGAGGCTAGCATAATTTCACGAGACAGTTGACATACTTCTGAGGCTAGCATAATTTCACGAGACAGTTGACCTACTTCTGAGGCTAGCATAATTTCACGAGACAGTTGACATACTTCTGAGGCTAGCATAATTTCACGAGACAGTTGACATACTTCTGAGGGTAGCTTAATCCACAAACGAGCGTGCTTCACCACGGCGGCTTTCAAAAAACAAATATACAAGAACTAACTGGCACTCATAGAAAGAAGTAGAGAGATCTGACGAGTAGCCATGCGCGTTAATATAATTATTTGTGCAGCGAGGCGCCTTCTTCACTTGGAGGTGACAGGTTCGATTCCCTGCACGGTAACTATTGCTTTTGATTTTTATGTTGTCTGGTGTGTCATATAATCTCTCTACTTCTTTCTTTGAGAGTCGATTAATTCTTGCATATTTGGTAATTATATCTACGGCCTCAGGCGTTCCCGTCTTGTATATTTCGGTGCCCTTATAATAGGTACGGACAAATAAATATATTACGCTCCCGTGACATGTCTTCCCACTACAGTCGCCACCCTAATGTGTCGCGACACACCTTTACTCTACAGTCGGCACCGTTTGGAAAGCTCTGCTCTACGCAAATGATATGGGAATGTGACATCGTGATCGGCAACTGCTACCATATAAAGATATGTGCAGCTGGAGCAATGGTGATACAGATTTTTCGGCGGCTTGGACAGAACATGATACTATCAATCATGCTGCATGGAGAGGAAGGGGGGGGGGTTGATATAGAGTGGAACACGAACAAAAGAGAATAAATCTTTATTGGTAAGATACAAACTCAAGGGAGATTAACGCTAGACATGAGCATCTGAAAATAAAACGCCTATGACACGCGTACAATCTGATGTTCCCCTTATTCAGTTTACAAACTTGACTTGAGTTGATTCAAGAACCGACATCAACGCACTCGGGCATTCCCATATGCGCTTCCTCCCCATCTTCAGCAGCCAGTGTAAAGTTCCGATACTAATGGTGTCAGTAGCATTTTAATTAAAAGTCCGTCTTACCTTTTCCCTGAGCTTAGAGCATCTGCCAGAACCTCTCGTCACTTCCCGTTGCACCAGTCTGACCAGACTGTGGTGATACATCTGCTACTCCTAACTGTACACTCTTTCACACAAGGGACTTACCACGTCTGCCTCATCATTTATCAGTATTCCACCAAGTTGAGAAAAAATCCAGACGATACTCCTTACCCGTGTCCTCCGCAGTGAAGCATGCCACTCTGCACGAAGCATGCCTGTCCTGACCTTCCTCAGCATACTTTCTGAGTCAGTTACAATAACCATGTGTGTGTGTGCGCGCGCGTGTGTGTGTGTGTGTGCGTGTGTGCGCGCGCGTGTGTGTGTGTGTCGTGTTCTCTAACCAGCGGAAAGCTGCAGTGACTGCCTCCACCTCCATTCTTAAGCTCGATCTTGTGGTATCATATGCTTGGCTCTATTGCACCAAACGTCGATTAATAACTTTTGCTAAGAAACCCCAATTACTTCTTCTGCCTTTCACACTGAACCATCTGTGTAAATGATCAAATACTCTGACTCCACTGACCGTATGTAAGCTGATTGTTTGCTTTGAATGAGTGTCTGTTTTTCCATTTCATATACTGAAATAAAAATCAAAATAAAAACTAGATATTTGTTTACATTAAACCAAAAAAAAAAATCAAACATTTCTTGACTGATAATTACGAGGCTGCGTGCACGTTATCTCTCGAAGTCGAAGTACATCTACCGGAGAGGCAGGGAACGAAACTGCCCACAAATCAGCCAGTAAAAGGATGTACACGCAAAAACTCATGTCTAGGTAAAAGCCAAAAGTCCAGATAAAGGAACATACTTCTGGAATACTTCGCCGGAATTCACAGCCGGTGAGCAAGAAGAAGACAAAGACCAGGCTGCAAGCCAAATTTTAACAACTTAACCTAACGGTTACCGGGTTACAGATTTTTTAAGCTGGCCACGACGTCTGGAACGTACTACAGTTACATCATCAAGAGCTGTAACCGGTGTGTTGTGAAATGAACAGGCGGATAGACTGGCTGGCTCTGCACAACTTGGTGGAATACTGATGCATGATGAGAAAGACGTGATTAGTGCCTTGTGGGAGAGATTGATGCAGCGGGAAGTGACGGGGGGTTATGGCAGATGCTCGAGGCTCAGAGGAAAGGCAAGACGGACGTTTAATCAGAATGCTACTGGCACCATTAGTACTAGAACTCTACACTGGCTGCTGGAGATTCGAACGGGGTGCTTATGAAAATACCCAGATGACAATACTTCCCGTTTTCACCTGGACAGTGCCGTTTTGTCATTTCTGCCCGTCAGTTCTTTGAACAAAACCTACACTTATAGTTCTGTTTTGAGATCCTATTAGATTTTGTATTTGTGGATAAATTTAAAGCCTGAAATGTACTGATGAGAATTTTCATTGTAGCATGTCCTTCCCCCCTCCTTCTCTCTCTCTCTCTCTCTCTCTCTCTCTCTCTCTCTCTCTCTCTCTCTCTCTCTCTCTCTCTCTCTCTCTCTCTCTCTCTCTCTCTGGTTTTAATTCCAATGCCGAGTGAGTAATCAAACCAGGGTTAAAAGGATTTGCTTTGGATGTCCCGTTTTTAGCTCAAAATATCAGTTGGATGTCTCGTTTTGGGCTCAAAATATTAGTGGAGTGTCCCGTTTTCAGCTCAAAACTATCAGTGGGATGTCCCGTTTTGTGCTCAAAATATTAGTGGAGTGTCCCGTTTTCGGCTCAAAACATTAATGGGATGTCCCATTTTTAGCTCAAAATATCAGTGCGATGTTCCTTTTTAGTTCAAGATATTATAGTCACTCTACCAATATGTCGGCGTCTGTGGTTTAGGCGTTGCAAAAGCGCTTCGTTATGCTGGGCTGCCAGGTTCGATCCCAGTTTCGGACGATCTGTCCTGCGTTGCTTTCAAAAGTGGTACTGCGAGACGACACTTCAGTAAGCAATGGCAAACTACTGAATTTAGCATTTGCCTGAAAAAACTACAACAGCCAAAAAATGCTGGTGTTGGTTCTCCGACGTCCTGTAAAGGATACGCAACTAACTACGCAACTAACTACGCAAATATCTTTACCAATATGTTAAATCCACTTAGTAAGTAAGAAACAAATGGTGGGTATAATAACGGTGTACTTACAGGAGGCGCTGATGTCACCGAGAGTAAAGATGACGGTTTGTAGTCATTCACAGCTTGGTAAGCTTTATTGTCAAAGGATGCTTTCCTTCCGCTTCCATTGCGACACAAAAGGCAGATGGCTAGAAGACATATGGACACTCCCAGTACAACTCCAACAGTGCAGACCACAGCTAGAATTAACATGGACAACATCTTGTGGGGGCAGGTAGGTAGTTTGTGCCCTCCAGGACTGCAATCCGCAGGATTACCAGCTCGAGGACGAGAATCAAAAAGGTAGAAATCCCAGAGATAACCGTATAAAATCGTTATGTTAAGGTGGTGGAACGTACAATTAATAGGTGGGTCAGACGTCGTTAAAATGCACAATTTGTGTCTGGCTAAAACATCGTCTAAAGATACAGTTAATAGCTGATTGAACTTTCTTCCGAACGTAGTTTGTAGTTAACTCATCTATCATTTATAGAAGAAGTGTAGTGTCATTGTCATTAACATCCCGGCAGGTATAAAGTAGTCGGATGTTCGAACAGGGTTTGGTTGGAAGTGTCACGCCTTGTTATGTAATCTATGTTGGTAGTTCACGCAATTGATAGTGCAGTCTCTATATGGTCGAAGCTTGATCTAAAGTCACAGTTTGTATTTGGATCCAACATAATCTGAACGTCCAGTTTTTTAATGGTTCAAGTATAATCTGTAACTACAATTTATAGGTGGCCCAAATGTAGTCTAAAGGTACAATTTGGAGCCAGCTCAAATATCATCTGAAGGTACAATTCAATAGCCGACTAAAACATTCTCTTTATCATCAGAACTCACAATTTGTATCTGGATCAAGTCTCGTCTGTTTGTACAATCTGGGCGTGACTCAAACTTCGTCCAAAGATACAAACTGAAAGTGGCTTGAATATCATCTGAAAGTGTAATTCACACCTGACACAAGTAACATTTGTACTTACAATTTTTAGATGGCTCGTGCACCACGCGAACACTAAACGTACAAATTGTACGTGGCTCAAAAATTGCCTTTCTGCTCAATTCTTAACAATCTAAAAATACATTTTTTGTCTTTGGTCCATTACCTAAAGTTTAAAGCTGACTCAACTTCATTCCGAAAGTCAAGTTTTATAACTGACTTATATATCATCTGAACGTACCACTTTGAGGCGGCTCAAAAGTCGTCTAAATGTACAATTTGTGTCTTGCTAAAACAGCATCTAAAAGTACAGCTCATAACTGATTCAACTTTCCTCCAGACGAAGTTCGTAGTTAACTTATCTATCATTTGTAAATGCAGTTTTGTGTTCTTATCATCAACAACTAAGGAAAACTACAACTTTGCATAGATTCTGCATGACCAATCTGGGGAAAAACCAAATAGAATAGTTACATAGTGGGTGGACTGGCTGTTGTGTGGGCTGGCTGTTGTGTGGGCTGGCTGTTGTGTGGGCTGGCTGTTGTGTGGGCTGGCTGTTGTGTGGGCTGGCTGTTGTGTGGGCTGGCTGTTGTGTGGGCTGGCTGTTGTGTGAGCTGGTGGTGTGTGGCCTGGCTGTTGTGTGGGCTGGCTGTTGTGTGGGCTGGATGTTGTGTGGGCTGGCTGTTGTGTGGGCTGGCTGTTGTTTGGGTTGGCTGTTGTTTGAGATGGCTGTTGTGTGGGCTGGCTGTTGTGTGGGCTGGCTGTTGTGTGGGCTGGCTGTTGTGTGAGCTGGTGGTGTGTGGCCTGGCTGTTGTGTGGGCTGGATGTTGTGTGGGCAGGATGTTGTGTGGGCTGGCTGTTGTGTGGGCTGGCTGTTGTGTGGGCTGGCTGTTGTGTGGGCTGGATGTTGTGTGGGCTGGCTGTTGTGTGAGCTGGTGGTGTGTGGCCTGGCTGTTGTGTGGGCTGGCTGTTGTGTGGGCTGGCTGTTGTGTGGGCTGGCTGTTGTGTGAGCTGGTGGTGTGTGGCCTGGCTGTTGTGTGGGCTGGCTGTTGTGTGGGCTGGCTGTTGTGTGGGCTGGCTGTTGTGTGAGCTGGTGGTGTGTGGCCTGGCTGTTGTGTGGGCTGGCTGTTGTGTGGGCTGGATGTTGTGTGGGCTGGCTGTTGTGTGGGCTGGCTGTTGTGTGAGCTGGTGGTGTGTGGCCTGGCTGTTGTGTGGGCTGGATGTTGTGTGGGCTGGCTGTTGTGTGGCTGGCTGTTGTGTGGGCTGGCTGTTGTGTGAGCTGGTGGTGTGTGGCCTGGCTGTTGTGTGGGCTGGATGTTGTGTGGGCTGGATGTTGTGTGAGCTGGTGGTGTGTGGCCTGGCTGTTGTGTGGGCTGGCTGTTGTGTGGGCTGGCTGTTGTGTGAGCTGGCTGTTGTGTGGGCTGGCTGTTGTGTGGGCTGGCTGTTGTGTGGGCTGGCTGTTGTGTGGGCTGGCTGTTGTGTGGGCTGGCTGTTGTGTGGGCTGGATGTTGTGTGAGCTGGTGGTGTGTGTGGGCCTGGCTGTTGTGTGGGCTGGCTGTTGTGTGGGCTGGCTGTTGTGTGAGCTGGCTGTTGTGTGGGCTGGCTGTTGTGTGGGCTGGCTGTTGTGTGGGCTGGCTGTTGTGTGGGCTGGATGTTGTGTGGGCTGGATGTTGTGTGAGCTGGTGGTGTGTGGCCTGGCTGTTGTGTGGGCTGGCTGTTGTGTGGGCTGGCTGTTGTGTGAGCTGGTGGTGTGTGGCCTGGCTGTTGTGTGGCCTGGCTGTTGTGTGGGCTGGCTGTTGTGTGGGCTGGATGTTGTGTGGGCTGGCTGTTGTGTGGGCTGGCTGTTGTGTGGGCAGGATGTTGTGTGGGCTGGCTGTTGTGTGGGCTGGCTGTTGTGTGGGCTGGCTGTTGTGTGGGCTGGATGTTGTGTGGGCTGGCTGTTGTGTGGGCTGGATGTTGTGTGGGCTGGATGTTGTGTGGGCTGGCTGTTGTGTGGGCTGGCTGTTGTGTGGGCTGGCTGTTGTGTGGGCTGGCTGTTGTGTGGGCTGGCTGTTGTGTGGGCTGGCTGTTGTGTGGGCTGGATGTTGTGTGGGCTGGATGTTGTGTGGGCTGGCTGTTGTGTGGGCTGGCTGTTGTGTGGGCTGGTGGTTGTGTGGGCTAGCTGTTGTGTGGACTGGTTGTTGTGTGGGCTGGCTGTTGTGTGGGCTGGATGTTGTGTGGACTGGTTGTTGTGTGGGCTGGATGTTGTTTGGGCTGGATGTTGTGTGGGCTGGCTGTTGTGTGGGCTGGTGGTTGTGCAGACTGGTTGTTGTGTGGGCTAGCTATTGTGTGGACTGGTTGTTGTGTGGGCTGGCTGTTGTGTGGGCTGGTGGTTGTGCAGACTGGTTGTTGTGTGGGCTAGCTATTGTGTGGACTGGTTGTTGTGTGGGCTGGCTGTTGTGTGGGCTGGTGGTTGTGTGGGCTGGTGGTTGTGTGGGCTGGCTGTTGTGTGGGCTGGCTGTTGTGTGGGCTGGCTGTTGTGTGGCCTGGCTGCTGTGTGGCCTGGCTATTGTGGATAAACTGAGGGAAACATAAGGTTGGTGGGTTTACGAATTGCTGCTATGTGGTTATGTTGTTGTTATGTGGATGTAGTGGAGTTATGTGGATATATAGTTGTTATGTTAATATATAAGTGTTAGGTGGATTTTGTGTCTTTTTTTAGATTGTATGAGGATATAATGGTGTTTTAGGGATATAGTGGTGTCATGTGGATATACTGGTGTTCTGTTGATATAGTAGTGTTATGTGGATATATTGATGCAGTGTGGATATAGTGGTATTAGGTTGATATAGTGGTGTTATGTGATATATCTTTGTTATGTGAATATAGTGGTGTTTTATGGATTTAGTGACTTTTTATGTGGTGGTTTTTTGTGGTTATAGTTTTGTTATTTTGATATAGCAGTGTTATATTTATATGCTGGTGTAAATATAGCGGTGTGTGGATATGGTGGTGGTATGTGCATATGGTGGTGTTAGGTAGATATACTGATGATCTGTGGATATAATGGTGTTAAGTTGGTATACTGCTGTTATGTGGATATGGTTGTGTTGTGTGGATAATGTGGTGTTATGTGGATAATGTGGTGTTATGTGGAAAATGTGGTGTTATGAAGATAATGTGGTGTTATTATCTATTTTGAAAGATGCGAGTGCTCGAAGACAACACAAACATCAGAAAGAGACAGTCATCATTTTTTTTTTTTGGGGGGGGGGGGTGGGGGTGGGGTTCATGTTATGAGAAGAGGAAATCTGGAACAGGTTATGAAGATTGGAAAAATCTGTAAGGACAGAGGAAGTCATCGCGAGAAGATTCTTGACATCCTTTTGTCAGGGCACAGAAAGGTGTCAGCACATGAACCGATACACGCAGTTGCAGGTCACCGATTGTGGAGAGGCATGATCACCCAAGCCTGTGGGCAAGGTACTTAATGATGTTATGGATAAACTGGTGTTATGTCGATATAGTTGTGCTATATGGCTACGTTAGTGATATGTGGATGTTCTGGTATCACCTTGACAACAGTGTTTTCTTAAACACAGCTGAGTTTTCCTTACTGGACTACTTTTTTTTTTACCGTCTATTCCCTGTCTGTGTTCTGGGGCAACATTTCTGGCGCTCGAGGGGAGGGGGCGGGAGGGGATGAACTCACTGCCCCCCTAACAAGTGTGTCGTAAATGGCGACTAAGTAAGGGTGTGCTAAAATTCGATTTGTTGGGACCAAAGGTCCATAAGGTTTGCTAAAATCGGATGTGCTGGGCTGAAAGGTGCACAACTGCAGCCTAGCTGTATACCACAACACATCGTGCACACATTGCAGCCTAGCTGTATACCAAAACACATCGTGACAGTGCCCTACTTAAGCCCTGCAAAAAGAAGAAGATGGCGAATAAGAAGAATTACTGCTAATTAGAGTACGTTTTATGTTGTTCTGAATTTAGTCAGAAGCTTTGAGGGCCAATGTTTTTATAACGTCCATGTGTTTTTCGTAATACTGAGTCTTTCTGTGTCTTCTTTTGTAGCCTTCACACAGCCGTAACCTCCGACGGAAAGTTCTGCTTGTTCGTCCACTTCTTGTCTTTAATCTTGTTCCAGAAACTGAGTTTTGCGTGCACCTCTTTTTTATAGATCTTGCTTAACTATCTATCGACGGTTCCTTGCCTTTCAGGAAGGTAATAACTGTTTGGCTTGGTTTATACAAAGGATCAACATCATGGCACAAGGGTAGTATAGTAACCCATAAGTGGTCCGTTCTACTTCTAACTTAAGCCTATGTCCGAAGAACCTGAGCGCTGTGCATGAACTCAGTAGTATCTGTGATACCCTTCCATTATTGTTCTCTCTAAACTTTCGTGACGTTTCAAGTGACCAAAATATTTCAGTATTCTGTTTTTTATCGTCTTTAGTAGCCAATGTTCTTCAATATTCAGTTGACGGATAAAGGCTATGAAACCACTATCTAGATTTGTCAATAATTACCCTATTTTACTTCTTGTTCTTTTTAGGATGAAATTTATCGTTATTTGAAGCCCCACTCTGGCTCTTGCCAGGAGCCGCAATATAGCCTGGCCAGAAATTTGGCCTAAAGGCTGAACGCGGTTTCTGGGACCTCTCCACGGTGATCCTCACCCACATGGTGGCACTTTGTGTCATCGGGTGTTTATCGCTTGTGTGATGTCCTGGTGGGGTAGAAAGTCAGTCATTCACTTGTCACTATAAAAGGGGAAATTTTCCGCTACAAATCATATCTCTCCAGGGGCAACTTTTGCTTGTATGTTCTTAGTTACTTCATTAAGGACGTTACTGGCAGCACAGTATATCCAATCTTATGTTATTCACTAATCTAACGTCTTTCCCATGTATTTGTAGATCTGCACTTTTCTTTTTCTTTTTATAGCAGTATGCTTTTACAGCCAAGGCACTGTCCTCTTTGATCTTCTTAGTTTGTTTTTTTCCTTAGCATTCACTGACTGTAAACTCTGGCGAAAATGTATGGCTGTTCGTCCACTTCTAAACTTTAGTCTTGTTCCAGACCTTACGTTTTGAGTGCACATCAGTTTTATAAAGAACTATATTTATACAGACGTTTGGTTGCTCGCCTCTCAGGCAGGCACACGTTAACTTCAAAGGAAGCTCCTCTAGCTGGTCAAATTTGACGATATGCTTGTGAAGTCAGAGAGCTGGGTCTTACCCCCCCCCCCACCACACACCGCCACCCAATACCTCCTCCCCCGCCCCAAGCGAGACCATCAGAGGCCCCGTGAGAATATCTCTTAAATGATAGTTAGGTGCTGAACCATTATCATTGTCTCATTACAGCCATTGTCATTGTCTCATTACAGCTATTATCATTGTCTCATTACAGCCATCATCATTGTCTCATTACAGCCATAATCATAGTCTCATTACAGCCATTTTCATTGTCTCATTACCGCCATTATCAATGTCTCATTACAGCCATTATAATTCTCAATACCACCATTATCACTGTCTCATTAGCACCATTATAATTGTCTCATTACCGCCATTATTATTATCTCATTACCGCCATTATCACTGTCTCATTACCGTCATTATCAATGTCTCATTACCGCCATTATCAATGTCTCATTACAGCCATTATAATTCTCAATACCACCATTATCACTGTCTCATTAGCACCATTATAATTGTCTCATTACCGCCATTATTATTATCTCATTACCGCCATTATCACTGTCTCATTACCGTCATTATCAATGTCTCATTACCGCCATTATCATTATCCAATTACCGCCATTATCACTGTCCCATTACCGCCATTATTAATGTCTCATTACCGCCATTATCATTCTCGTTAGCACCATTATCACTGTCTCATTAGCTCCATTATCACTGTCTCACTAGCACCATTTTCAAAGTCTCATTACCACCATTATCATTATCTCATTACAGCCATTATCAATGTCTCATTACCGCCAATATTATTATCTCATTACCACCATTATCATTGTCTCATTAGCACCATTATCATTGTCTAATTACAGTCATTATCATTGTCTAATTGCAGCGATTATCATTGTTTCATTACCGCCATTATCACTGTCTCATAGTCGCCATTATCAGTGTCTCATTAGCACCATAATCCCTGTCTCATTACCGCCATTATCAATGTCTCATTACAGCCATTATAATTCTCAATACCACTATTATCACTGTCTCACTAGCACCATTATAATTGTCTCATTACCGCCATTATTATTATCTTATTACCGCCATTATCACTGTCTCATTACCATCATTATCTATGTCTCATTACCGCCATTATCATTATCTCATCACCGCCATTATCACTGTCCCATTACCGCCATTATCAATGTCTCATTACCACTAGCACCATTATCAGTGTCTCATTAGCTCCATTATCACTGTCTCACTAGCACCATTATCAATGTCTCATTACCGCCATTATCATTATCTCATTACAGCCATTATCAATGTCTCATTACCGCTATCATCAATGTCTCATTACCGCCATTATCAATGTCTCATTTCTGCTATCATCAATGCCTCATTACCGCCATTATCAATGTCTCATTACCGCTATCATCAATGTCTCATTACCGCCATTATCAATGTCTCATTACCGCTATCATCAATGTCTCATTACCGCCATTATCATTGTCTCATTCCCGCCATTATCACTGTCTCATTACCGCCATTTTCAATGTCTCATTACCGCTATCATCTATGCCTTATTACCGCTATCATCAATGTCTCATTACCACTATCATCAATGTCTCATTACCGCCATTATCAATGTCTCATTACTGCTTCCAACAATGCCTCATCGCCGCCATTATCATTGTCTCATTACTGCCATCATCAATGTCCCAATTACGTCATTATCTTTGTCCAATTACTACCATTATTTGTCTCATTACCGTCATCATCATTGTCCCATTACAGCCATTATCATTGTCTTATTTTCAACGTCCCCATGACAACGTCACTGAATTAGACAACATTTGCAACGTCATCAAAAACATCTTCAGCAGCGCATCATCATTACCATGACCCCCAACCCCCCCCCCCCCCCCCCCCCCCGACAAAAATAACACAGCCATCAAAAAGCCGCCCTGGTGTAGCAGCTAGACTCGTCTACGGATTCGAAGATCATAGGTTCGAGTCCTGATGGAGCCAGACTTATTTTTGTTTTTAAATGACCTTGGCTCCTAGGTCGATCCTGCCTAAGGTGGGTAGCAGGTAGAGATTTAGGAGGTAAAGGCGGCCGGTATGATG